AAAAAAAAAAAGGAAAAAAAAAAAGAATGGCTTCAGTCTCAGTCCTGTATTTTTCTGGGGGAGGGGGATTCTGGACATTACTGTGTCAAGAAGTGCTTTATCCAGTGAAGCAAAATTTGCACGATTGGAACCTTATTTGTGTTGTTCGTGTTTTTCATCAACTTTTTATTTTTCCTGATTTTTGTTTGTGTGTGCTAAAAATATAAGCTAGATTGATCAATAAGGCAAAACAAAGCACATATATACCCTGTAGCTCCAAGTAAAGCTAACCAGTGAACAATTCTGTCTGCACTTTCCAGCTGATCTTTATAGACCTATTTAGAGAGAGAGAAAGAGAGAGAAAGAACGAGAGAGCTACATGATCCTTCAATTGCAATCTGGAAACCAGTAAAGGAACTGACATTTCTCAATTGCCCTGACATTTCTAGAAGCAGCAGTGGAGGCTTTGAATATCTTCCTGACCATACCATAAAATATATACTTTCTTTTCATTACCATATTTTGGGTGGTTTTTCCTGATATTTATTTGATATATTTGTCCACTAATGCTTGAGTATTCATTGTGGGAGTGCAGAGAGATAGCAGAGCAAATTTTTCCTCTTCCAAATTAAATAAAACCATCTCCACTTGAGGTGTCTGAGACAAGTATTGGAGGAGTAGACACAAGCATCTTTGACAGCCTTAGGGAGAGGAGCCTCAGAGGGAGAAGGGCTTCAGAGGATCAAAAAATGCTCCAGAAGTTGGCCATGCATATATTCACCCTCTCTGCTCTTCCCAACATAAATGGCCACACAGTTCTAGGAGTGGACTTATATCAATATTGAACACTGAGAAAATTATTATCCCAATCAACAAGAGGTAAAATATCAGGCCATTATCAATGGTGTCCTTTTGCCTCATTCTCAATAAATAGATCCTGTTTCTTCAGTTTGTTTTTTTTTTTTTTTTTTTTTTTTTTTTTTTTGTTTTTTTTTTTTTTTTTTTTTTTTTTTTTTTTTGGTTTTTTGTTTTTTTTTTTTTGTTTGTTTGGTTTTTTGGGTTTCTTAAAGTGGTGTACTAGACAATATGCTGAGGAAAATCTTGTTTGAGGAGATCCAGAAGGAATGTTTATTTTATAGAATTTTTATCAACATTTATTGAATTTTAAATGTTTCATTTTACTATGAATCCCCTAAGGGTGGATGTGCATAAGAATTTATTTTTGTCGAATTTACTCCACTTCCACAAGCAAGTATAACGGAAAGGCATTTTCAGGAAAACGCTGGTAACTACATTGTATTTCAAAATAATGGTGGACATGTCATTTTCATTGTAAATTTATCATTCAAGGGACAAAATTAAAGTAATATATTCTTAAAAAACCCTTATCTGTGTTGCTTATATACCTCAGATGACTAAAATATAAGCCAATTTAATATTTAACATTTTTGTGCATTTTCACCATTGATGTGGTTTGTTTGCTTTGCCGTTTCACTTTGCCAGTTACTTAATGGATTTGTGGTTGTTGGGTTTTTTTAATGGGTTGCATTTTTCTAGTTCCTCTTTGTGCTTTGGCATGACTGCAATGTTTCTAGTTGCAAAATATCACAGGGCTAAGTTTAAGTACATGAAATAAAACCTGAGTCAGCAGCAACCTTTTTATATTAAAATACAATAAATACAGTTGTCTTAATGGTAGACATTGTAAAACTACTTTTTTGTGTTTACAACTAGATTGTGTCACTCAAGGAAACAGAAACTGAGGTGGGTTCAAGTGCCCAAAATTTTAATTTCTACTATATTTTTAATTTAAAATAAAAATACTCAGTCAAAATAATTTAAAATAAGAATGACTCAGTTTTATTTTAAAATTCTGCCTACCGTAATCACATTCAGTTTTTTAATTTATTTCAGTTCATTTGGCTTGAATAAGACAATGACATCTTAGTTCTGGCTCTCTCCTAAGCTAAATGAGGCCAATAGCAATGTTTTCCTTAGAACTGTCCTTGGAAGTTTCTTTGGCCATTGAAGCTGTATAATCTGAATATCTCAGTTCATGTATTCAAGCTCAGTAATCTTGACTGTGTTTTTTAACAAATATGTTTATATGATAGCCAATCTTTTGTCTTTAAAGAAGGTATCTCATACAATGCCACTTTCCCTCTGCTACTCTTGTGTCCTTCATGCTAAACGATAGAGATAGGACTCTTATATAAACAGTTAAAATAAATGGACAATGTGGAGTAAATTCTTATTGTACACTAATTGCAATAATTTTTTTTTTCCTTTCATGTTCTTTGCAGTATTTATTACCTTTTCCCTTTTAATTTTGCATCTGGGTTTGAGAACGTGCAATCTACTTGCTATTGGAAATAGTAGAAATGTTGATGTATACATAAGGTGTGGATATCATGATATATTTTATGTTGGAGGGGAAAAATGTACGACCACAGCATTGGAAATTGCAGGAACTATGAAATCAGAATGATTAAAGGAGCCTCCCAGTACATTAAGAGTAGGCTTATAGAAAATAATTTCTATAAATAAATAGTTTGGGTACCATTCAGAGTTGATTTAAGTTTAATGTTGAGGGGCACCACGAGAGTTAGAAGTGTAAAACACGTGGTAGAGAAGTAGACCAGTGGCACCATAACGACTGGATCCCGTGGGAGCAATAGCACAAGACCCCTTCCAAAAGCTTTCAAGCTTTGTAACAGTTGTAATATATTACTATGAATCTACTGTCTGTTTGACTGCTTCCCTTCCAGGGAACAATCTGTACCCGGGTGCTGTTGGTGTTCACTCTTTTAGTACTTCTTCAGTCTACTTACGGCAGGGTGGAAGCCAGGAGCTGTATTAGGGATGATAAAATCCCATCATATATCATTGCCTTCCTCTGAGTTTTATATCCATGGTTTGAACAGTCTCGCCAGAGAGCCTGTGTGCTCTCACCTCCCCCTGAGATAGTGGGTGTGATGGATGTGTGGTGTAGCTCATTACTGGTCAGCATCTTGAAAGCTGGAGCTGTGGGAGGAGGAGAGAGACAGGACATGAAACTAAAGAGTTGTTTAGAAGTTACATTGTGTTTGTCAGCTGTGACTTTTTTAACTTTTAAAGAGAACATTTTGTTTTTATTGACCAAAATTTGCTTATTGGACAATCTGTTAAAGTAGAAGATAGGCTAAAAGGGCCTGTTTACTGTGGATGTATTCAGAAATAGCTAAAAGTGGTTTCTTGTACTTCTAATGTGAGATTGGTTTTTGGAATAAGTAGAGTCACAGGTAGCATCATTTAAAAATAGCTCTTATGATTAATAGTCTGCTTTGTTCCAGGCAAACTTTCTAGTGTTAATGAGCACTCAAATAACATTGTCATTACTACACTTAATATTCATGTGAAGTGACTTATCATTAAGCAGTTATACATAACTAAATACAATCAATTACCCTCTTTTAATATATTGTTGAAAGGCCAAGGAATGTCTTTGAGTCATTGCATAGTTTCTAGATTTAGGACCACTTACTGTCTTGAAAAATTGTTCCAGGGTCATGTATGATGGGGAGTCATGCCAAATTTTTAAACATGGTAGTAAACTATGATACATTGTAAAATACATATTTTCTTAGTAGAGTGGCTTCTTTTATTTGACATGATTTCACCTGTCAGAATGCTTAAAATAAAACTTTTTGATTCCCGGCCACCTGTTAATTAAATCACATTTGGAGTTTATAAATTCCTGAGAATTTTTGATGACTGTAGTTATACACAGACTAAGTGGCTGGCTAGATGATAGACAAGCATTTAGATACATATATATAAGTATCAGTAAAATTCAAGTGTTCCATATTGAAATAAATATGTTGTCATGTCAGCTAAGAGGCTGATCTTGCTTGTCTCACTCACTTCAGTAAAGTCCATTCCTCTTATGAACGAACTTTATTTGAGTGCCTCTTAACATTGAATTTGCACCAACTGTAAATGTTATCTAATCAATTTATTTACATTTATTACTTTGTATAAACCTACTCTTAATGTGCAGGAAAGCTCTTTC